ATTTTACATGAATAATATATAATCGGTGTTATATGTTGTAAAGACAAATATAAATGACACCTAATATTTGAATGTTTTAGATTTTATTTTTGGAGGAAAGAAGTTATAGAGAGAATATAAAAGAAAAGTCCCATGTAGCCGTTCAGGTTCAGAAGCTTCTGACACCTGACACTGATGCTTGTACGTGGTACAACGCTTCCTGTTGTATCTGCATGTGTGTACCTGTTTGTGTTGTGACGCTATGGTTTAGTTCATTCTTTTGTTCTTCATTATTATTTCAGCAGTTAGCTCTTCCATCAAGTCGATGGAAATGAACATTACATTTCTGCCTTGCAGTGGCTATCGTAGATTTTATCGTCATCATGCCTTGCATTTTATGTAGAGGAAAACATTTCTACTTTTTATTTGTTAGCAGTAAATTGAACTGTAGAGGTTTGTAGGTAGAAGTAATTGAGCAGTGAGCTGCTGCTGCTGCTGATATGAAAAGCTTTAGTTACTCTGGTCCTGTTTACACTCATGTTGTACAACAGGGAACATATGATTGTCAGGGAATTTGCATTTCATGTCTGCAAGCTTGAGACGATAAAAGATTCCCTATAGTCTAACAACAGAGAGAAGCTATCAGTTAATATATAGTTATTATAAGTGAAATTGAACATTTGAAGAGAACGATGTGACGGACTTTGTAGCATCTTCTATAAACTTACTACAGAGTAACAGGTTTAACTTCCACGAAACAAAACTTTCAAGAACAGATATTTTTATTATAGTAACTGTTACAGTGAGAAAGGTCTTTTTTCATTTCAGTCTCTTGTTTGTGTGTTTTTTATTATTTTATTATCTCTTCTTTATGCCATTTAATTCGATTCTCTGATTCTGTGCACAATTGCATGTTTTCATTGCAGAGAAAACAACCGTCTTAAACAACTGAGGTCAGTCTAATGTGCTATTGATGAGTAACATGGTACAACTGCACGTAATGTATGCACTGTGAACTGAAAATAAAATGACACTGTTTCCTTCTCATGCACCCTGAACTCTTTTCTTCACACTGAGGTGCTGCATCAACATCTAGAGAATCACATCATGTGGAGATGTGAAGTATTTTATTGACAAAATTGTCAAATGTGGTTTATTGTGTATTTACTTCCTCCGGGACAGATGCCTGATCTGTCTCCGTTGTTATGTTTTCGCTTCGTCCGTCTGTCCCACGCTTGTGATCAGATATCACAATTAATATCTCGTGAGATCAACATTAATATCTGCTTTCTTCACATTTTAAACCAGTTGTCATTTGGACTAAAAGATTAACTGATAAGTTTTCGGTGATCAAAAGTCAAATGACATAAAAAGAATCACATGATGTGAACAAAGAAAAATGTTTCATTTTATATATTTTTTATCAGTAATGGTAATTTGATCACTTGAATATTTTCTGAAATGTATCTGATACAGGAAGTGAAGAGGGAACTCTGCTCTACTATCTTATCATCTTATCTTAGGGCCAATAAGAAAAATCTAAGTTCTAACACATTTATTATCTTTGTTTATTTGTGCTCACGTGTTGATTAATCGATCACACACTGAAATCTGTCCGACAGCGTCACACTGTCCCTAAACACACTTTGAAGACATTAAACACATTCATTCATTTTGTTTAACTGACAGAATACAACAGAATACTCACAGTACAATAATCAACATTACAACACTCAAACACTTCTTGTTTCTAAAAATACACAAACATTTTCTCACGATGAAAACACATTTAAATGAGGAATGTCTTCACTCTTCACTTGTTTCAACGTGTGTGTCTGAAACTCTGCTCCATCAGTTCTGAGAACATGGACACAGAGACGTGAGACACTCGATACTTTCTGAGCTCACATCTTTGTGTTTAGACCGATGTTGTGTCGGATGGTGAATCCAGCTGCAAAGCTTCTCAGGGGGACGGATGAGGCACTGACAGGGACGGATGAGGCACTGACAGGGACGGATGAGGCACTGACAGGGCCGGCTCTACAGGGCCCTCGACACAGTTTGATTGCCAATATTACTGATTATTGTCGAAGCTTCATCTTTCACACACCGTCTGTAAATCTGAAGAACCCAGAGTCACAGTTACAGCTCGTGGATTCGTTACACCAGCAGTATCAGCCATCAAGCCCGTCAACATCATGTTGTGTTGTGTAAGATTTCAAGATTTCCTGTGGATACATGTCAGGGGCCCTCTAGTGGCCACAAGGGCTTCATGCCTATGCAATGACAAAAATGGCTTCACGGGATCTAAAGAGCATGAGCATGTGAGCAGCGAGGAGAAGACCATGTTAACATGCAGAAGCCAGATATTTGATCTCATTTCCTGTATTGCCATGACAACAGGATTACCACCCTGCATGTAAACACAGTCCCCACCCGCCCCTCTCATATCAGTCTCTCCATAGGAGGCGGCTGAGTGATGCTCCACATCTCCACCCGTGATCCCTCCTTCTCCTGCCGGCTGGGACTGTAGGTGCCGTGGGTGGCGCGGCGTTTCAGCGCCGCCACCAGTCCAACGGAGGTCAGGATGAAAGCCAGCAGCAGGACAACAGACACCAGAATGATTGACAGCAAGAGGTCAGAGGTCAAACCCTCAGAGGTCAGCTGCAGGAAAGACAAACAGACGCTTGTAAGACATTAAAAAAATATGTTTTTGGTTTAAAGATGTTCACGTACAGGATACGTTGTTTATTCGTGTCTTTCTCTCCGTCACACACTCTTACACACACTTCTCCTCTCCTGACTGCTTCACACTACACCAGGCGCTCCACGCGCGCTGCCAACGTGCTGATGGATGTGTTCCTCAGCTCAGTGGGGGGGTCGTGACCGCCGGCGGCCTCGAGATGCCGTGGACTGAAAACGCCCTCCGTCTGCCGCCTCTTTCGCAGCTTGGCCACGGCCAGGGCCAGGCCCACCATCACCACTATCGCCAAGCCAATCAGACACGGCGCCAGCACAGCGGCCACCCGTGAGCTGCGTGGAGCACGCTCTATCTGTGGAGGATCACACACACACAGGCAATATGCCTCCTGATGATCCCATCAGCACAAACAGAAAACAGCACCAAGAAAACACACACACACACACACACACACACACACACACACCAGAAATCGCTGAAACACACACACACACACACACACACACACACACACACACACACACACACACCAGAAATCGCTGAAACACACACACAGGTTTGTGCAACTTCCTTATTTGGACTTTGCATTGACTTCCATTCATTGTGGACAAAACCTGAACTCTAACACACACACACAGTTGTCTTCATGATTTCAGAGGACAATACATTGACTAACATGAATTTCCTGAGGACTTACACTTACCTGAGTTACTTGCCTAACCCAAACTTTAATCCGAATCTGAACCTAAACCTAAGATTACTCTAATCCTAACCAGGGTTACTTTCCTAACTCTTACACTAACTTTAATCCTAACTTGAACCTAAACCTAAACTTATCCTAACCTTAAAACATGCCTTCACTTTAAAATTGAATGATTTACCTTATGGGGACTTGCTTTTTGTCTCCATAAGGAAGACAAGTCCCAATACTGTGGCTGAGTAAACAGATTTAGGTCCCCACAACATGAGTAATACCACACACACAAACTTGTACCTCTATCTTAGTGAGGACACTCATTGGCATAATGCATTCATGAGACCTTATCCTCAACCATCAAGACTAAATGTCTCATCTCAGTCGTCATTTGAAAAAGTGAGGACTGAGCAAAATGTCCCGACTGTCTTTCCTCAAAATTGTCCTCACAAAGATGTAGAGTAAACGTGCATACACACACACACACACACACACACACACACACACAC